CCAGGGTAGGAGCCAGCACCACTTCTCTTGGAAGTTGGTTCCAGATCTTAGCCGCCCTGACCATGAAGTAGCACCTCCTGATGTCTAGTCTGAATCTACCCTCTGCCAGCTTGTGACTGTTATTTCTAGTCACTCCAGGTAGTGCTCAGGGGAACAGGGACTCCCCCAGTGCCTGCTGGCCCCCTCTGACTAGTTTGTAACAGGCCACTAGATCCCCCCTCAGCCTTGTCTTATGCAGGCTGAACAGATTCAGGTCCCTGAGCCTGTCCTTGTAGGGCCTGTCCTGCTGCCCCCTGATCATGCGAGTGGCCCTCCTCTGGACCCTCTCCATGTTGTCCACATCTCTCTCGAAGTGCGGCGCCCAGAACTGGACGCAGTACTCCAACTGCAGCCTGACCAGTGCCGCATAGAGGGGGAGGATCACCTCTTTGGACCTGCTCGAGATGCATCTGTGGGATGCACAACAAGGTGCAGTTGGCCTTCCTGACTGCATCCCCACACTGCCAGCCCATGTTCATCTTGGCATCAATGATGACTCCAAGATCCTTTTCTGCCTCTGCACTGATGAGAAGGGAGTTCCCCAGCCTGTAAGATGATAGATGTTTTAAAACTGTGCAGCAACAAGGACAAGAAAAAAGTATTGGACTGGTAAATAATGTCTGAAGTCACATCTGCCATTCTTGTCCTATGTTACACTGTGTTTAACACACAACTAGCATTTTGGGCTTTTGGCAAACAGTATTAAAGTACTTGGATATGACTTGAGTTAGTTTGACAACCTCCACCATTTGGTCTTGCCCAGTATCTATAGGTAATTAATGAGAGCAGGTGAAAACTATTTGGTCATCCTGTCTGTTGTATGCCAGCCCTTGTCTGAGTATTGCCTCCTCACAGACGCTAGAAATGCTTTCATTTCTTTCTCCTTCCCTGTTTCCCTTCAAACCATATAGAGAAAGGAGGTAGTCCAGTCTAGTAGAAATCAACAGGTGGGAACTGGTATTAACCTGTGAAAGGAATCTCACTTCTAATTACTTTTGTGTATTTAAGCCAGTGAAGAAAAAGAAGATAAAACGAGAGGTTAAGATTCTGGAGAATCTGCGAGGTGGCACCAACATCATTAAGCTGATTGACACTGTCAAGGATCCAGTGGTAGGTGCCAGTATGTCTTGGGGTATCTTGAGTGCTGAGCTTGTCTTCACCTGCAGTCTGTACAGCCAGTCCCGTGCAGTCAGTAAGTCCTGCAAGATGTTCATTAGCTGGATATGTGTTCCATGTACAAAATTCATCTTTGTCACTGCCTGTTCTGTCACCTTACCCTTCATGCTGCTCTTTGCATCTTTCTTCCTGTAAAGGAGTGAGAAGTATTGCGTTTTGAGGCTTTGCTGAGAACAACTTGGTTCAGATGACCTGATATTCTTCTGCCTACTTCAGAACCGTTTGCTCTTGTTCTGTATCTGATGATACTCCCTGCACTAACTAGCAGGGAAGAACTTTGTAGCTCAACTGTGTTGGTCTTAAAGCAGAGACTTCTGGCTGGGCAGCATGTCTACTTCTGGCTGGCCTAAGGAGCAGTGGTCTCTCCAGGCAGAGGTATATCAGGTGTTCATCACCACCCAGGGTTACAATTTGTCTTCCTATCTAATGAACACTTCTTAATTCCTCATTTTCCTTTCATGAGCATGCATTTTGTTGTTTGGTTTGGTTTGTCATTTAGATGCTACATTTATTCCTTTCCCAAAACAGTTCCTCTGATTATTGTTTGGGGGCTGATAGTAGAATGGGTTCTTGAGCTGAGTCATATGAATTCTAGTTTACTGACCGATTTGGAGATGACATGGATAGCAAGTCCTAAGTTTAGTAAGATGCAACATCACTTTCCAGGTCAGCTATGAGGTGAGAGCACTAGATGTTGCATTTTATTTTGCTGGAGATTATCTGTGAACAGTGAGTGGGAAGGAGAGACAAACCTGGTGAGAAATGCCTCACTGGTGGGGAGCAAGAATGAGTTGTTCCAGCATGTTTTGTTAGTGACAGAGCAGAGACTGTGTTTCTCTCACGTTACTGTCCTGTTCTGTGAAGTGTAACAATGGGCAGAGGCTGGGAACAGGAAACTAAATTTGCTTAGGAGAGTCCTTGGACACAGAAAGGTCAGAAGGAATTGGTGGTGTGGGAGAGTGTTTAAACCGTTCATCTTTCTCTCTTGCAGTCAAAGACCCCAGCTCTCGTGTTTGAGTACATCAATAATACAGATTTTAAGGTGAGTCTGTCTTGATGCCAAGGTGGGGATGGGGGGAAGGATTCAGGATCCTATAAGATTAATTATGTACAAGCTTTACTGTAGGCTTTGAGAAGCCACAGGGGAAGAATAATGAGTTTGTTTCCTAATGTTGGCTTCCACCAAAAAACAGCCAACAAAGATTAAGTTTGGACTAAAAGAAATAAATTTGAAAACCATCCAGCTGTCCCTCCTCCTCACTGAGAGGTACAAGTTCAGAGGGAACAGGAAAACAGGAGGGTGTATTGCATTTCCTAGTTACTCTCTCTCAATATAGCAACTGCTGCTGTGCTGTATTTTAAATCTAAGTTAATCCCTGTGTTATGATACTCTATTTATGGCAGAGCTGTTGATGGAGATGGTATCACTGGTTTGCATAGACATCCTGAAGAGGTGGTGCATAGACTGGAGAGCAGTCTCTTCATTTATAGAGTTTGGTGCCATGTCATACCTAGGCTGTCTTGAACAAGTTATAAAGGTCCCCTGGCCTCTGTACTCCCCCCCCTGCCCCGGTGAAAGGAAAAAAAAAAAAGACTGTAGCATATATTGTTTTATTACTCCTTATTACTTTAAGGAGTGGTGGGCAGTGAAGAGTAGAACATGGCTACTCCAGAGAGGAACTCTCTCTGACTTGGTCCAACAGTGATCAGGCCTCTGGTTTAAACAGTTCCTGGCTGAGGGGAAGGGAAAGCTGATCTGCAAAATGGCTGTGAGATTAGTAGCTTTCTCCATTACGTGTGGTTTACCATACTTGCTCCATGTGACTTTTTACCATAAGTAATTAATTCTGATAAATGGAATTAATTATGAGTGATTGGTCTTTAAATGACAACAGTTAACGTGCCACTCTGAGATCAGTTTTTATTCCTCATGCAGGAAAATACTGTTATCTGTCAGATACTGTCAGTATGGGAAATGTTTTGTAGAGGCTGAATTTAGGACTATAGCTTCAAAATAGTTAGTGTTTGAAGATCATCCCTGCCCTGGGCTACTGCCAGTACCAGTTACTGCTATTTAAATGAGCAGAACTTGATTCCTGGCTTTCAAGTCAGCAGACTTGTGTATGTAATTCCATTGAGTCCCATGGGAGTTAAGTGCCTGGAGTATCTTTTAAAATCTGGTGCCTCAGTGCTTTTGAAAATCCTACTAAGTGACTAGCTGCCTCCATAGGTGTCCAGATACCTTTAGAAGTCCGGCCCCTGAGATTGTTGCATTGTATCTTCTTGCTGTCTAGTGGATTTCTAGGGGCTCAGGTTGTCGCAGGGGGATCCAAATGTGAGCTGCCTTCAGAAGAGGTGCTTGAATATGTAATCGTTGAGGGGACGGTTTAAAAGGGTTTTAAAAGGAGAGCAAGGATCTTGCAGAGGATAATTGCAGTCCCAGGATTTCATATCTGGAGGTCTAAACCTGTTTCTGAGGTAGACACCTGACCCAAGCAGGATCCTGTTTACTTTGGGGTTGTTTAGCAACCTTGGCTTCATTGACTAAAATCCAACAAAAAAGGAGTTTGAAGAACCAGTACAGTATGCTGGGTGTGTAAGAAGGCTGCAAGTCCTCCAAGGCCTTGCAGTTCAAGATTACATGCACGGTTTCTATCACTTGAGAGTCAATGTAGTGATTTGAGTGCTGCTGTAACATGCTGACCACAGCCAAAACATGTAATTAATCTGACTGAAGTATTTTGGATATACTTTATGCCACGTAGGGATTTACCATAGAGACTGAGACATAGTAACCTGTGATAGTTTGTCCTGACAGGAGTTCATAGGGTATGAGTGTTATCCCATAATGTAAATAGTAACCAGAAAAGTGGTGTGTTAGCAATTGTTGAGGGCTAATGAAAATGACCTTGATTTGTCTGGGATGAATTTGAATCAGATGGATGGTGCAAACGCAGTGTAGGCTGTTCTGAAGAATGGGTTTCTGTAAACACAGCTCATGCCTCCTTTGCATATTTGATCCCTTCAAGATGTAGCCATTAAGTTTGAGTGGAAACTTATATTTACATTTTTAGCAAACAATGCGAGACAAAGTCAAGTCATAAAACAGCAAATCAGATTGTTTTTACTAATGGCGTTTTCATGCCATACCAAAAAGAGATCAGGCCATAATTGTGCCTAATAATCTTTCTGCACAGGAATACAGATCAAGGTAAATTTTCCTAGTCTGCACTCAAGTTAGGTTTGACTCCCAGTTCCTCTGCTGCTATCAGAGTACCCTTATGGGAGGAGAGAATATTGAACAGTTAAAGAACCTATTGATTCTTACCACAGTATCTGAGTATGGTGGATACAGTGCCAAGAGAGTTAAGTGAGGCTTTTCAGGGCCTTTGTGCAGGTCACATACCACATTTCCTGCTAGAACAAGAATAGCATTTTTTTTAAAAGGTTTGCAAGCCGATCTTTGAACTTTACTCTGTCTCATCTGAATAAGAGATCATGGGATGCAAGACTAAGTTCTGGCAATTGCATTAGCAGATATTAGACAAACAAACAAACACTAGTATGTTTGTGTCTTGAGACTTCTCAAGGCTCAGTGTCACTGACACTTGTATAAGACAGAAATGGAAAAAGTCTCTTAAAATTAAAAATGCAAAAATCTTCGTCTGCCGTGAGATTTGCAGCCTGGCTGGGCAAGCAATGTTGATGGTTCAGATCTTGTTAGTTATGTTTAGAGCCTGCAGTTTCTGCGATTGGAGATTCACACACATCTTACTGTAATTTGGGTATTTACACTCACAGATGGCTAATGGCTGCCTCTCAAGTTGTTGTATGCACAAAAACATGTTCAGCTGGGTGCTTTTAAAATTAGACCCCATAATCTTTTTTCACTTAGGCAGGAGTGATCCTGGGAGGGAAGGCTGAAAAATTGATTAGACTGCTTATGTCAGCTTCCATTGGTTGTCCTTTCACCTTAATAAGAAGATGGTTGTGAAGACTTGAAGCCAGTTGGAGAGCTTCCAATTCAATTGTTTTTCATTTTTTCAGATCTCAATGCTTCTAATTATCACCAGCAGCTTAATTTTGCTAGAATTAAATGCAATACTAGCTAATTCTGGTGATATAGTATTGTTTCCTCTTTCCTTTCTTGGTACAGTTGGCCCATGACCTAAATGCTTGAGCTAGTGGTGTGTACATTACCTACTACACCTGATGGCAGTGATCATTTTGACCAGCTCCACCACAGAAACATTATTCAGGGTTGGGTGATGGGTTCTCAAACAACTTTCCGTTGATTATTTTGAGTCTGATAGGATGCTGCCAAGTACTTTATTGTATTGCATTTTTCTCTCTCAGGTTTGTCATATCCACTTAAAAATATGAGCATTTTCTTATCTATCTTCTCCTTTTTGGCTCATGCTTTTGCTTGTGCTTTCAGTGAAATTAACTTCTTTTTTGCTTCATGTTAATTGCTTGTTATTACAGTACATGGCTAACACGTATTTCCTTTTGAATATGATCATTGCCCTCAGAATACTGGCTGTTAGACTCCTTTGGCTGCCTTATGATCTTTTTGGGCAGGAATAGCTTTGTAGACCCTACCTAAACTAAAGCAATTGGAGTTTCTAGTTGGTTGGTGGCCCAAACTTTAAATATTTAGACCCAAAGAAGTTTAAAATAATAGCACTTGGTAAGTATAGTGGTAGGAGACTCTGGAAATACTTCATGAGATAAGTACCTCAATAGGTTATACTTTTCTACATTGATCCAATTAGAGTGTTAAAATGCTTGATTTTATCCCTCCTAAAACTGATTGATTTGAGCGTGTAGTGATTATAAATCAGGGCTATAAAAAACACCCACCATTATGTTTGAAAAAAACAATCAAATTGCCCATATTTATCTTCAGTGTTACTTTTTGAGTTCACAAGTGCTGCCCACAAATATTTGCTAAAATCCTAACTTGCAGCAAAATGCTACATACAGTCAGGCAAATGATAAGCAAAGGCCCAATGTGCCTATTGGTTTTTCTGATCCAACTAGAAAACTGGGAGATTCTCCCTTAAAATTGTGCAGGATTTGTGTAGCGCCTGTAACATGTCTGCCTTCAGTAGCAAAATCCCTGCTACATAGAGGGGCAGATGTGGGCTCCTTAAGTGCTGCACAGATCTTGCTACTTCATTTGTTATGGAGACTGCTCTTTTGAAAGGGAAGACTAAAGTTTACAGGCTGTTTGGGAGGTAATCTGCAGGAAGAAAGAGCAGAGATGTGAAGAGAGTCTGGAAGGGGGATTCAAGCCATGCGGGCATGTGTAAAAGAAAGATTCAAAGGGGCTATGTACCCCAATAAATTTTGGAGCAGTGTGGTTTATACCTCTTCCCATAATAGGTCTGATTTTAAAACAGGAAAACAGAATGATTGTTGTGTTCTCTTATTCAGTGCATTAAAGGGAAGCAGGATGCTTCAGTAGGATTCCTTAAGTTTTCTTTTCCATATTTTGAACTATAGTTTCTCCTTCCCCTTCTGCCCAACTTCATACATTTTGAAGGTAAATATAATTTCCCACTTTAACACTAAAACTTAACATAGCAAAGTATACTATGCACTTGGCAGCTAAGGAGCGAATGATTTGAAATTAGACCATTCACCCCTGTGCTGTGTGATTTGCACCTTACAGCAGCTTCTCTGAAAATGCATTACTGCTTTGTATAAAAATGACATAGCTTCTTCCCCACACTGTTTCCAACATGGGGAGGTGGGGGGGTATTTGCTCATTCTAGAAAAGCTAAATGTTTAACTGCTATCACTGGAGCTAATGCAACTCGGAGAAGGATGCTGGGAAGTCTTCCTTCTTGGATGTCAACAAAGTTGTTTTACAAGGGTTTATATACACTGAAAGCCATTGAGGGTTGTCCAGCTGCTGTAGAGTGCTTAACAGGACCTGTAAGATCTGTAAGACCTTTCATGCTGATAGTTTCATAGTTTCTAGGGTCAGAAGGGACCTGAACAGATCATCAAGTCCAACCCCCTGTCCTGGACAGG